CTAAGACTTGTCTGGTGTTGAAAGGCATTTAGGTCCTGCTCTCTGTAACAGTGCAACTGTCTCAGAACTGGGATTCAAAGTGTCATTTTCAGTGATGTTCAATGAATCTCAGACTCCCAGGGATCCATGTTGTAGCAGAGTACTGTATGAAGCAGGTAATTAGCCATATGAAGAAGTATAGTGAATCTGGTTGAAAAGCACCTTTTGCTCCACAAAATTCAGTAGCCTTTAAGCAGCCATGAGTTATGCTTATTTTGGGCTCTCTGCATGTTGCTGTAATTCTTCATGTTAACCTAGAGTCTACTCTGCTGCTGAATCTTTTGTTCCAAAGCCTGACCCCTGTGGACAGTTATATCAAATCCGCGGTAGCTAGTGTATCCCTAAGGTAGCACAGAGCAGGATTTATGATCAAATGTTTGAGAAAAGATCTTCAAATGCTGGCACCAAATTGGTGTTGGGAAAATTTCTATTGATAACCTGTCAAGGCAGCATCCAAAATAAGCCCTGTTCTTTCCTCATCTTCCAGTCTAAAAGCTTTCACGTGAACTCAGGCAATAATGATGTCAACCAAAAATTCCTACCAGTAACCCAAGCTGTTCTGTTTGAACAACTTCCTACTTCTCCGTTCACTGTATGCTGTGGAGTTGGACTGAGAAGGTAATTTTAAACAAGTAACTTTAGAGTCTGCCTATGAAGCCTGCTTCTAACCCTGTTAGAGGGTTAACTATCTAGCAGAGCAAAGTACTAATATTGGAGATTTGGAGAGGGAAGGAAGAGTTAGTTACCCATGCTGCTATCAAAGAATTTAGTGGGGAGGTTATCTGAAGGGCTCTTAGTGTAAGAATTAGATTTTTAAGCTCTGTGTGCATAGGGCTGTCTCTCACAAGGAGCTTTTCTTCATCTCAGTCTTTTACATTTCTGAAGAAATTATGACCGGTCTGTCTCTTTGTAATTCTTCTCTCTTCCTCTCCCTCCCCCTTCATTTGCATCTAACATGACTGTGTATCTCTGGGTCATACTTAAAAGTACATACATCATGCACCTGCATAGGAGGTTTTTCACAAGCTTGTGGATATATTTATAAATACTGTAGGGGCCCCCTTTTCAGATCAGTTTGAAAAATGTGTCCTGTATTGCGTATTCTGAAAAAAACAGCATCCCTTAGGTGTCATGTTGGTTCAGCCCTAATTCTGACTTCAGAGAGTAGATCGGCTTTCGCACACATCTGGTCTTTGTTTTTTCTCCTGTTTCTCATGGGTAACACATGGCAGAACACTGGAATCATTATCGGGCTGTTCACTGGGGTTTTAGTGGTTTGGTTAACAGTTGAACGGGAAGCATCTAGATATCAAAATGATCATCAGATGGTGACAATTTGGAGGTGCTGAACTTGATTTGAGCTGAACTTGGTTGAATGAGTATGAAAAGAAAAGTTTCTTCATTCCTTGATGCCTTCATCTCAGTATTAGTGTTAGATCTAGGAAAATGTATGCAATTCAGTATTTCCCACTGTCCTGGGTTGAGTGAGTGGTGGGGTTTTTTGGTGGCAGGGGAGGGGGCTATAGGAGCGGCCCCCTGTGAGAAGCTTCTCGAAGCTCCCCCAGCTCCAAGTCAGCTCCACCTCTGCACCAAAACTGAGCCCATCAGCTGCGCCTCTGCGATAACGTATTTAAGAAGGGACGTGGTGAGGAGCAGTGGGACTGGTGAGGAGGAGTTGGGGCAGCTGCGTGAACACCAAGGTCAGTGGAGGAACGGAGGAAGACAGGAGGGGGGAGGTGTGCCGGAGCAGAGACCCCCCTGGATCCTGTGGTGAGACGGCAGGGCGTCCCCCCTGCCACCCATGGAGATCTACGGTGGAGCAGACACTGATTTATGGCCTGTGAGGTGTTTTGCATGGTTGAGCAAGGTGTCTGTGCCCGAAGAAGGCTGGGGTCTTGTGGGAAAAGGCAGCCCCACTGCTGTAATTCAGCGCTGGGAGGATTGCAGCATGCGGGGGTGTCCCACGCCGGAGCAGCTCGGGAAGGGCTGCAGCCATGGGAGGGAATCCAGTCGGAGGAAGTTGGTGACCCATGACGGAGCAGTGTGGGGAACGCTGCGGCCCAGGGGAGGGACTCATGTTGGAGAAAGTTTGTGGAGGACTGTCTCCTGTGAGAGGAGGACCACGATGGAGCAGGAGGAACAAGTTCCGGACACTCCCCTCACCGAAGATGAAGAAAGTGGCAGCACTGCCTGCACCCCCCATTCCCTGCCCCTGCGCCACTGGGGGAGGAGGTAGAGATATCGGGAGCAGAGCTGAGCCCGGGAAGAAGGGAGGGGTGGGGGGAAGGTGTTCTCAAGATGTGGCAATGTTTCTCACTGTCCTACTCTGTTATGTGTTGTTAGTGTCTGTAATAAATAGATGTTTTTTTTTTCTTCCCCTAACGGGTCTGCCTTTTGCTCGTGACCATAAAGGGGAATTTTCTCCCCATCCCAGTCCTATCTCGGACCCCAAGCCTGGCTCTCTGTCCCTTCTTATTACTGGAAGAGAAGGGGGAGAGAGTGGCTGCGTGGTGTTTGGCTGCCAACCAGGCTCAAACCACGACACCCACTAGCAGTGCAGTGAAGGCTATGTATGTAAGAAATAGAGGAAGAACATTTATTTCCTGCATATTTATTTTCCCAAGGAGGGAGGTGCAGTACTGGAAGAGGTTACCCAGAGAGGTTATGGAATCTCCACCTTTGAGGGTTTTCAGGGTGAAAGTTGCAGGTGACCTGATGTAATGTTGATGATAACCAGGGTGTTCTCTCAGTGACCTGCAGAGGACCCTTCCAACCAACATGTCTGTGATTCTAAGTCAGAACAGATAAATGAGCTACTGGTATCAAGTGGGAAAGATCATCAGCTCACAGAGTCAAGAACCCCTGCAGCTCTGTCTTAGAAACTAATGAGAATGGACGAGAAGCCATTCTGAGCCATGCCATTGTAATTGTTACAGGTGAAGAACAATGAGACTGGTCACCTGGACAGCTCCTCCCATCTCATAATCCAAAACCCTGAAGATACTTATTTTGCCGCACTGAGTCCCCGCCTCAATAACATTTATCTTTTGGACTGAGAAAAAGTAATCCGTAGCCTCCATATTAGCTGACACCGTGTCTGAAAATACAGCATTACATCCATTAGCTACAGTCTGAGTTTAGCTGTACCAATATTGTTTTCCAGCAAAGACTTGCCAGGGCTGAAATTATTAACCCCACAGGTGAAAACACCCTTGGATGACTGTGGTAGTCTTGTGATTTCTGTATTTGCAGTTCTGTAGCTCTCCTGAACACTAACTGTGTGCTGAAGGTGAATGCTACAGCTGGATTTTTTGTGGAATTTAGGCAACTCCTAGATTCAGCCCATTGCAAAACCTCTTTCTGATAGGAGCCAATGAGAACAAGCTACAACTGCCTCGTGCAAATTTTTGCAATCTGCTATTGCGTGAACAGTTGGGAAGGTTGAAATCGGCACAAAAGAGCACTTGGGTTTTGCTCCGATTGCGCTTCCCCGTGTAAGTGCTAGACATCTCTCTCTCTTTCTGGGGAATTCTGTGCTTGATCTCCATCACATAACTTCGGAGCTTGCAACGGGATCTTGCGCAAAACAGCTGTGCGGATTCACAGCAGCTATCGTCTTACATTTCCCCGACACTGTGTACGGTTTCAGTGTGAAGAGCCAGGGAGCACAGCGTTGCGAGGTGGTGCCTGGCTTTTGCAAACAAAGGGGATGGAGGACTCTGTGCCACCTGCTCTGTCACTTGAACAAATGTTAGGAGTAAAACAAGCTACAAACTGCTAACTGTTTGTTGGATGATAACTTTACGCAGCAGCAATTCCATCGATCATCAAGGTCAGCTTTTTTTGCTTTCATTTCTCAAGTCAACCAGTCCCTCGGTTCCATGTTCCTGTAGGCAAGATGGTAAAACTACCAAGGATGTTAACTGCTGGTGCGCTGACAGGGAACAGTGCTGCGGAGCTGCACGCTCTTATTTGGGGACTGCCAGGTGTGTCCAGATGTTTCTGCGTTAAACAGTGTGGCGCAACACCTCTGCAGGAATTGGCAGGCAAGGGCGTTTGCTTCTTGACTTGGATTGAAAGCTTTTGTGTCGGCAGTGTCAGGAAAACATTGCCACCATCCGCAAACCAGAGAGCCCTGTCATGTCCATACGTGAGGAAAAAACCCTTCTGCTCATTTTTTACGGATTATTTTGTGGGATGGTGCATTTACTAAAATTAGCAGTTATGAAAATGCTGAATGCTCCTCTGTTTCTTGCTGTAGTCACTCATGAGTGTGGGGCTGAGTGGGAAAAGGAGTGGTCTTGGCAAACAGTTTATTAGTCTCAAATAAATTATTAAGAACACAGGTTTGGGTACAGATTGCAGGGAACAATAATGGAGTTGGTTTTCTGAGCCTGTTCATGTTATGAAGACATGGAGTATGCTTTTCAGGAATTCACTTAAGGGGAATCAGCTTTGAATAACGTAGCCTGGAAGTAAGATTGCTGCCATCCAGCTAGTGTCTGTGGAACAGCATTCTCCTGTCTCCTGAAGCATTGGTGTTGAAGATGGATAGATAGGGAGATATTTATATTTGGGCCTTTTTTTTTTTTTTTTTTTTTTTTTAAGGGAAATTCTTTCTAACCACTAGAGAGGGGCACGTTTTGGTTGAGATTTTTTTCCCCCTGAGTGAAACAGTGGACCACATCAGCATCCGATTCGGGTGCGTCATGTGGTTTCTCATGTGATGCTGGTCTCGTTGCGCTTTGGAGAGTGAGCCTTTGTGACTCCGCACTCTTGGACAGTAGCATCCAGCAACACAGGAGACTTTGGGGAGGGAGAGGAAAAGATACATACCACCCCAGGAAACCCCCAAAGCCCAGAAAAATAAAGTTGCAGTAATTATTATAGTTATTGTTTCTTCTTCACTGTTTTGGCTTTTATTTTTAATTCTGGGTCTTCCCTCTTCTCCGTTCCTGCAGGCATAAAGCTGCACCATTCGGAAGAAGCGAGATTGTCTTCCCTTACAGCTACGACGCTGCACCGCTCTCGGCACAGCCTGCTTTTCCCCCATTTACCTGGGCGGCTGCTGCTGCTTCTGCTGCTGCTGGGGCTGCTGCAGTCTCGCTGCCTGTGCTTCACCCCGGCTTGGCTGACTCGAAACTCACTTGTCTGCACATTGCTAAGGAAGAAGAGAGATGGAGCCGCATTTTTTTCTGTTGGTTCTGGAAGCAAAGGGTTGCGATATGTGATGATTTGGGGGTTTTCTTTTGTGGGGAGGAGGGAGGGGGAACGGATGGAGGAGAAAGGAGGGGTGTTAATCTAGGATGGGGTGGGTGAAAGCTTAAAGAAATATTATGTAAAGTAATCCAGTGCTTGACAAGGGCATCAGCAGCAAGAATCCAGCCTCTGCTGCTCCAGAGGATTAACAAGGGGAAGCCACAGTGCTGCAGTCGGGTTTCACCTCAGCGTTGTGCTGGAGATGGATAAATAAGGTATCGGTTATGTCTGCCTGTTAAGGCAAAGCCATGGGAGAAGGAGAGAGCGAGTGAATGCAAATGCAAAAGAAGAAGAAATGCTACGTGCCGTTTGTCTGATTCTGTGCATTCTCATTGCTGAGAGGATGGCTCGATTAACAAAGCAATGTATGGACGGAGGGACTGTAAATTGTGGCTCGAACATTCCTGATGCTGTCAGGGAGGGGACTGATGAGCTAGGTGGCTGCAGCGATATCCCCAGGGAAAACAGCAACCACGCGCTCTGTGTGTACTCTGTGTGTATATATATGTATGTATGTGCTTTTGTGTGTGTGTGAGCATGTATAGACACGAAAGACAAACATTTCTGACCAATTTATAGAGGAAGTTTGTCACTTTGCTGGGTCAGACTTGATTGCAGCTTGTATTTTCAGCTATAACTCTACACCCATTTCCTGACTGAGGCGGCACTTTGTGAAAACAGATGTAGACAGAATTAAGAAATGTGAAAGCAAATCCTTTCCGCTTAACACCTTGAAGCACTGAATCTTCTGTGCTGTGCTGAGAGAAACTGGGGGGGAGTGTTTCGTTTTCTCCATCTTAAAATCTCTATAAACACAGCTGTATTCAGTATGGTGAAAAATTCTATACTGTAAATAGAAATGTGATCAATCTAATCAAAATAAATGCATCCCAGATGACTTCTAGACCAGCTGGCTACCACAGTCATCAGATGGCTAAATGCTCAACTGAGAAAATTGAGCATTTTATATTCAGCTTAATATTTACTTTTTTTTTTTTTTTTTTTCTTTTTTAAGAATTTCAAAATCGGCTTCTAATTAAAAAGGATTCTTCATCTATTGAGAAAAGGCAATGCTCACGTTTGGCAATAGATTTCTCTGAAATGTACATGAATATATTTTATATTGCCGAACACGCGTGGGGGAGACCGTGTTTTTAGAGCAGGTAGACTTGTCACTGTACAGGCATATTTAGTTTGGTAGGCAGCTCGGCTTGGCCACGTCTGAACAATGCAGAAATAGGGGAAACAAGTGCCGCACTCAGCTAGTGAGACTTGGCATGGCTTCTAGCAGCTGCCTGCTAAGAAAGAGGTGTTTTTTGTTTTTGTTTTTGTTTTTTTTTTTTTCCCCCTTCATTTTTTTTCCTTTTATACAAATCCATAGACCATAATGTCATCCTAAAATGTGTACAAGGGGATTTCCCAATAGTCATGGTGAGCTACCCTGCAAGACGCCTGTCTGGCCCTTCTACTATTTGTTCCCCAGCCTACAAAGGCACCCCTGTGTGTTGGATTATATTTAGCCAGCTGTTGGATAACATTCTTGTGCTGGGGGCAAAGGAGTCTTATTACTCCCAAACTGTAGTTTTCTGTTTGCTTAAAGAAAAATAATCTTGGCAATACAGCAGGCTCTGCAAAGGGGTTTGTGCCACTCCTATACCTTTCTGAAACTGTGGTGTGCTTCTAACTTGGGCGGTTTAAAGCAAGCAAGGAAGAGGAAGAGAAACTCTTAACTCACAGCTTCTAAGCTGTAGAGACGAGCAAAATGTCAGCAGCTTGTAATTAGGAGTCCACGGTTACGTCGGTGACAGTATCTCTCCAAGAATAGCTATGTGATGTGTGCCACAAAGCAAAGGAAGACAGTCATAACCTGGTTATCAAGCCTGGTTCAAACAAGAAAGAGCAAAATGGATTAATGAATCTGCTGTGTTCCTAAATCAAATGTGGATGGATTACATGTATGAGGCTTGCTGAATTCTGCAGCACTGAAGACTGAATTATTGGGTTGTCAGAGGGCACGCATTCACCGAGTGAAAGTGTGAAACCTTCAGAAAAAAATGCAAACGAACCATGTACCCTAGAAAATGTCTTTCCCAGCTCTGCCCTGTACAGGCAGGTGTGTGACACGGAGGTGTGCTCTGAGAGGAGAGACTGGCGAGCTGCACAGAGGTGTTTAAAAGGGAGGGTGTAATTAATCACAAAGCAAGCATGCCAAAATTCTGTTCTGGCGTTACAGATTTGATACCGAGATACCGCCCCAGAGAAGACTCGCTGGGGTCTGGTGTGGTTTATATTCAGGCTTCTCTGGTTAAAGGGTGACGGGGAGCGGGAAGGGCTTCATGCAGCATCTTGCAGCCACGCGCAAGTCCCCAGTGCCGTGGGGGGACGGGGGACGTGTGGGGCAATGTGCTCTTAAAGGCACATGCCCAGACCCCACCAGGAGCTTTCTGTGCTCCGACATTAGTTTCAGGTCTGTGCCGGCAACTCGGCAGCATTTAAGCAGCGAAATCGCAGGGGGTGCTTAATCTGCTCCAACCGCCCTTTCTCAGTGTTGTGGCTGGGAGATGTTTAGAGGGCTTTGATCAATGCCCCTCCACAATATTCAGCGTGCGTGGCTGTCGGTGTTCACGCCGCCCATTTGCCAGAAGCCTGGCGTGGTTCCCTGCTCCCAGCAGAAGTCGGGTGCAGTTCAGCTCCGTTTATGTCACTGTTTAATTTACCAGGATAGGTAGATTGCATTATGCAAGCAGTGGGTTTGGTTTGGTTTGTTTTTTTTTTTTTTTTTTTGGACTGCGAACACAAATTTGTAGGAGGAGGTGACTCTGTATATTAAACCAATAGCTCTTTGAATTTTGTGTAGTATAATTTAAATATACTTACTTTAATTAATAGAAGGTTACAAAAGCTGGCATTGTCTGGGGCTGTTTAATTTACATCTTAGGTTTAGTCGATGAGCATAACCTGCCTGATTAGAATAGTGTATTCTGCACAGCCAACAGGGTGGAAGACATTATTTTGTTTGTGTTGGTTCAAACAGCTGGTCATTAATGCAGGCCCCATCTCCAGAGCGAAGTGCTAGTGGACATGAATGGCTGTCTGATTAATGCTGCCCCTCGACAGGTCCTTCATCCAGCAGTGATGCTCACAGCAGAATAATGCAGAGTGATTTGATTGCGCTCTAACAGGGTAGTATGTCATTGTGTCACCAAGCAATCGAGGTTATTATGGGGCAGGGCAGACAGACGGGACAGTGGGGTTACTAGACCGTGGCATTTTTAGAAATGCAGGCCTGACCTACTTAGAGTTATTCTTGCTGGCTGGCAGCTGCCTGGTGCAGGGCTCCCCCTGATAGGCTGTGGCTGTTGCTAGGGGGAATTAGCATGAATTTTTCCACATACAGACTCAGTGATTGAATGATAAAAGCTGACTGGAATTAAAGAGATTCGGTTCAGTATTATGCAGATTTATCTCCCTGTTTTTTTTATTTTTTTTTTTTCCACTCTCTCAAATGCATAAAAAGGAGCAGAAGACGGTTTATTTCCATTTATTTTTGACCTATTTTTTTTCCAGGGGAGGGCAGAAGTGTTGTGAATTTTTGATCATCATTTAGTATTTAAGCCGTTGAAATGATATGACAGTGAGCATGCATCTTTAATGTATAGGACATTCAAATGCTGTCTCTTTGGAAGGGAGTGAAATGAATATATTTTGTGTTCTGGTCAGACTGTCGCCTCTTTCTATTTGAAGCTATGTCAGATTCCCTTGTCTGGAAAGGGGAAACATATACCAGGTTTTATTGCATAACGTTACTCTTGACTATTTTTATCTATCTGTACTTCACAAAATTAGTCCTGTGTTTATGTTGGTGGATGAAGTTAATCCCCGGACTGTGTCTCCTGTATGCAGAGACAGATGCCCAGGGTCTGCTGCAGTGTCGTGTGTCATGTTCATCTGAAAAGGTGTTTACGTACTACAGACGTATCAGCACTGCATACCTAGCAGCAGACTGATGCCTGGCCTGTAATCAGATCAATTAGAGAACCTCTTCTGGATTTTTGAGTATTACTCAGGCTTTGGTTTGAAGTTAGATTTTTTTAGATGGCCCTTATTTATTTATCTACATCTGCCTAAAATAGTGTTATTTTTTCAGCAAACTCTATGCTCCCTCAGGAAGCAAATAAAAACAATACTCAGTGAATAATCCTTTGATGTTATTACGAATATTTCCTTTGTTATTATCACTAATTATAGAAGGTCTTTGTTTAAAATGCAATTCCCCTCTGTGTGATCTTTTACCATGCAAAGAAGTTATAATTTAGTGCTTATAATTTTAAATGATTTTTTCATGGCAACTCATCGTGACATCACACTTGAAGAATCGGGAATTTTCAGAGTAAGAGGCAACTGGGAATGGGGGAGAGGGACTCAAAAGTCTTTGGAATTACAAAATAAAAAGTGTGACTGGGTGCTGAAAAGTAGTGAGCTCGTTTGTGTCTGAAATGGTTTCATTGGAAATATTTGAATGAACGAGAGACCTTTTGGAGGGAGGTGAGCAGCCTGCACGTCTGTCTGGACGGCTGGCAGCCTCCCTGGACGCAGAACTCCCCTGCCTTTGCCCCTGGAGATCTCGGGAAGATATGAAGAGGAAGCAACTGGAACTGCATTCAGATGCGTTTTGTGGCCGAGGCAATGCACTCAGTTCCTACAGATTTGGATTCCCTGTGTTTCTTTCCTGGTCTTGATTCATTACTGAAACTCACACCACTTCCTTCTCTGCTCCTTCCCAGCGATCCCGTGGAGTGACAGTTTTTTAGAGAAGTGAAAGTGGAGAGGTACTATTTGATACCCAGTAATTGTATTCTCCTTGGCTGTCCCTAGAGGTGACTCCAGAAAGTAAAACTGCAGGTTTGGCCCCACTTCCCTCAGCAATACTCTCTTGATCAAAGCCTGATCTCTCAATCTGCTTTCATGCAGGGTGCTGTCGGTGGCAGTGGCTTCCCACCCGGGCTGTGGTTTTCACACTGGTCTTCCAAACTTACCTCTGTGCCTTGCAGCCTACTGCGCTCCTCCCCGCTTGCCTTCCCTGTGATGAGCTGGTTGAAGTGATCACAGAGTAGGGTTGGATCGTGGCCAGGTTTGACCCATCCCGGTGCCTCCTCGGTGGCTCGTGCCCAGGTGGGCAGCCTCTTTGCTAGCAGAAGGGACGTGCTGGCATGGAAGTCAGTCCCTCATGGGAGAAAAAGGCAACTTTGCTTTCAGGCTGCAACGGTCAGCCGTTGTGTGCAACTGTCTGTTGAGGTTCTTGCCCTTGTCGGTTGTAGCCAGTTGTAGTTTCATCCAGTTCACCTGGGATATTAGCTAACTTGGACTTCAGCAAATCCAAACGAGTGTGCAATTATTGTCTTCATTTCAGCAGAAATCTATTTTCTAGAAAAATTATTTGAGTGTCATTTATTTTTGTATAATCCTGCTAAGAAAGAAGGAGACCAAAGAAAAGCAGCGAACAATACAAAGCGTATAATCTGTGGAAGAGAGTAGTATACTTGATGTTTTGGATTTCAACACAGTGAACATTTATAACAAACATCAAATCAGATGGTCTAACAAACCATAAAGTGACATATTAAATATAAAAAATGCAGTGCACTAGAAATTGTATTCAACATTAGGTTACTTTTCTGAAAGTCTCTTTAATGGGAATTTTTCCAAATAAATGAATGTGTCAATAATCTAATCATAATGCTTTGGGTAATTGTAAGTAGCAGAAATACGGAGTTAATGAAACAAAACCAAAATCTGAGATCTATATGTGTGTATAAGGCATAAGAAACAGGACGCCAGAGGAGTTCAAAATACACGTCTGTGTTGAAAATATTGTCAGTTGTGCACATTCCTTTGAAAACACATGTTAATCATTTTCTGATGATCTCCTCTGAGGTTTCTATTGTTGCAACAACTTGCACTCCCTACCTTGAAGTTGCTTACCTACAAAAGATTGTGTTGTACTGTTCAACATTCTTGTAGCATGACCTCTCCTGTGAGCTATGAAAGATCTATTATGCTGAGTTTCATGCTCTAGGGTGGCTAAGCAAGTGCTGATTTACTGGTGGCATATGCAGGCAATAATTTTGGGGTTTTTTTTTCCAGCAAAAGACCCAGAGTCCTGCCTGCATTTGCATCTGTGAGATACACAAGCTGTGCTGCTTGGTGTATTCCTGACCTCAAAGTCTTGGCTGGTCGTGGATTTGTTGCATATTTTGTGATGTCATTGCAACTTTCTGTTTTTCTGAAAATGATCAGAGGATACAGGATATAGAGCAACACATCTAGATTCCCATGAAGGGATTACAGCTGCAAGGAGTGAATTGACTCCCAGCCTTCGCCTCCTGCCAGGGACATAAAGATCAGTTCTGCAGCAAATGTGTTTCAGTTACGATTTCAAACCAAAAGTACTAGGATTTGTATCATATTTCTTAAAAGACTGGCAGTTGGCACATTCCTTCTATTTCAGTACAGTAGGGAATACAAATGTTTTACAAATTAAAATAATCCTTACAAGATTTTTTTCTGTGATCCATTAATATGGAAACAAATTCTGCAACATACTACCATCAGCCAGGAGCAGCATTCTTGTGACTCCCACATTCATTCTTTTCCTGCATCCATGGATGTGTGTGCCTATACACTCAGAAATGCTGTATGCATGTCCTGTGTGTGAATGTGGATACAAGACACAAGCATGACTTAAACAAATGCAGCACTGTAAATACAGCAACGTAATCATAGTTGTCTCAGGGTTGTACTGAAACCTGTGCGTCAAGATGGATGGTGCTGATTTGTGCATGGTGAAAAGTGGCTCATAAAATTCGTGCAATTCTGGTGTGTAGCGTAACCGCTGCATTAATGCTGTCATCCCATTTGCCACCAGCAACACCACCAAAATCACGGTACTGTGTAATACAAAGGTAACGAAAAGGATAGTGTGGTGAAAAGTAAGGTGTACCTGGATAGATGGATTTCATAACCACTCATGCCCTTTCTGTAGTTGGTAACAATGTAAAATGAAGTGCATGGCGGGCTGTTTAAGACGGATAGATATATTTTATACGATCGTTAATTCTTCCCTCCTGCTCTTAGGCCACACCTACTTCGAAAGTGAATCCAGACTCAGATCTTGACAGAGATCGTGACCTTGTTGAAACCAATGGCTGTTTTATCCTTGAATTCAGTGGGGCCAGGCTTTCATATCTGTTATTTTCCCCTGAACATGTCTCTTTTTTGTGCTATTGTTCCAAAGTGTGATGTGTCTATTTCTACATTCTTTTTTCCTCTGAAAATCTTTTTTTGAGTAATATACTATCAATTTGCTCTTGAGTATGAGAAAACATGGGGAAACACCACTTCACTGCCAAGCAGTTAAGGCTGAGTTGCTATTAGTCTCCATAGTTATGTTTTGCTGTATACTTCTGCTTTCATCATAAAATGTCTTTAATTTTGATGAAATGAAACAAGAAGTGAAAAAGACAATATACCAGAGAGAATCCGATCTCTAACAGGCTGCAGAAACTCAGGTAATGAGATGGCTTGTGTCTCGACCTATAGAGCTAGAGTTCATAGAAATGTAGAGGGAGGCAGAACAACAATCTTTAAAAAGAAATGCCTTCTAGCTCTCTAGCAACTTACACTGTTATCATAATTGAAGTTAATGGTGGATTCCTTTTTTTTTTTTTTTTTTGACCCTTTAGTGTTGAATAAACAGTACTCACACTAATGTTCAATTAATTTATTCATTGGGAGGTAGGTATAGCACAGTTGTGTCTGAGTTTGCTCTGTTTTTCTTTGTTACATACAGACACAGAAATTAGGCCTTTCTGAGGTCAAAATTTGTTTGATATTTCAAGGTTGGAGGCATTTAAAATAACGGCAATTAGTAGAGGATGTTTTGATAGATTTTGTGCAGTATTTATATCATTCAGAAAACATGCGGAATGGAGAAGGTGGTACATCGTGCTTCATACTTGGTTTGATTGCGGTTGAAAAAAATAGTTGATGCATCTTAGTTTAAATCTCCTGTTCATGACCTCTAATGAGGGCAATGTATTACAGCTCTCACCTGCAACTCCTGTGTGTATGCACAGGCACACATACCGCTATTTTTCAGCTGAGCTAAAATTGCTATTGAAGTCATCTCCATCAGGTCTTTACATTACTCCATTGAAACTCAAACTTGCAGTTGTTTACAACTTACAGATGAGACTGCAAGTTTTGTTCCTTTTTTTTTTTTTTTTTTTTCCCCTTTCCAATGTTTGGTAAGATTATGTCCCTTCATGAGTTTTATGGATACATCCTTTTTATAAAGGAGCTGGAATTCCCACGCACTTCAGTGCCCTATTTACTCTGTCACAGATAGTTGATCTTGTTTCCATCAAGTGTTTTCTGTTAACAGCTAGGGAGTAACACACTTGTCTTTGCATTGGATTTTGATTTTCTGGCATTATACTCACCGTTCCCAACATTTTTGTGGTTGAGAAGAGATACTTGCAAATGTGAAAAGTAGTCTCCTCTGGTGCCTATATTTATCATGTCCGTTCACATTTGATATGAGTTTAGCTGAACACGTGACGTGAAGATTAAGCACTGCACTCCAAAATGTTTTCCCTCGGTTTATAAGAGTAATCTCATTTCTGTTAGAAGCAACAAGCAAATGGCAGGCCAAGGAACCCAAACGGACAGATGATGTTTGATTTCACAAACCAGGTATTCGCATTATGATACGTTCCTAAGAAGCAGGGCAGGGAACTCGTGCTGTGCAGATCAATGAGGTTGTGTATTTTTAAACAGTAGATCATCTGAAATCAGAGCTATGAGACTGAGTAAAAGCCTGGCACTAGTGGAGCCATTGGAGAGCTGTGCCCTGGGCTGACCGGGGTGCAGCACCTGCTTGCACAATTCTCCAAAGGGATTCTCCGGATTTTCAAGTACTGCCAACAGTTGGTTGCCTTCTTTGCTTAGCCTGACTGACACTGGTTTTGGTTTGGTGGTGGTAGTAAGGGGAGGTGATACCCTTTATTTAAACTAGCTCTCTCCCATAAACCTTGGCTTCTTGATAGCTTTAGGTAGTCTTGGCTGCCTCATATGTGTTGACTTCAATAAGAGTTTGGATCATGCAAAAAAATTGGAAGGTGGCCAGAATTTTGGAACAGCAGTGTTCTGTAGTTGAAGATTTCTAGATGAGTTGGTTATTTCTGTTGCAGAGACAGTTAGGAGAAATGCAGGGCAGTGAAGTTTTGGCTGTAGTCCAGCGCTGCATAATGATGGAGACCAATAAATTCAGTTAAAACTCTAGTCTTGCTGCAATCACTTGCTTGCAGCACTGCAAATCACATCAGAAGGAGAACAAAATAGGGAAAAACAGCACTGTTTAATAAATATGCTTTTATGGGTTTTGTTTCATCCTTGATGAGTCAGCTCAACA